GGACTACATATGAACCTAATTTACAATAAACTTGGGAATTCTTTATTCAAACATCATTTGAGAAAGGCCCATCTACACGAGCTACTATTAGAAGACTTAGGCCCGTTAAACATGAAACAGCGGGAAGGTCTCTAAAATACTGAGAAACTACGATATACATGAAGTCTAATTAAATCATACAATCTATAGTTTCCTAGGCGCGAGAAACAGTACAGTTATTTAAATTTGCACCCTTTCTGACAGTTAAATAAAAGGCATGATGTGTGTCATTAGGTAATTCAACCACGCTGAATAATATCCTGAAAAGAGGTAAGATGCATGTTATAAAGAGATAAAAAGGGACCGTATAAACAGTTCTAAGATTAAATTCTAAACTAACCCACTTCGATTTCAGCTAAAAGCTGATGTGAAGGGATTTTTAATCTTCGCAAAATTTCCACTACTTACGTGATGTATCTTTTTCTCAGAGAACGATCGTCTTTGAAACGCATGAATTTGTCTTCAAGCCTACAAAGGATTGTGGGAATTTGGTGATGCAAATTTACGGACCAGCTCTACTGACTGGACTGAACTACATTGTGGTTTCCGTTTGGGACATTTATATGGACATGCATCCCAAGCAGTTATTAAAGATTTTATTTCTGTGCAATCTTATAAAGAATTTTTTTAAGTTGTCTTGCTATGATTGCTGATCTTTCTCTAAAACAATGTAAAAACCATCAAATGGTGGTAAAATTTAGTTTTTTTAGCTTCAGTGGAGCTTAAAAATTGGTCAATGAGCAAATACAAAACATAGGTTTTTTTCACAGCACGGAGAAAAAGAAAGATTTTTGCCCACCAGGCCACTCTTCTAAGGTAAGTTGTAAAAAATAAGTTTACCTGGCAAAGTTTTTCCTCCAAATAGAAATGCGACTAAAGATGATACATTATGAAATATTCGCAATTATTGGCCTAATGTTGCTTAGTAGCATCACAAGCCATTTTTGAGTCGTTGAAAAAATATAATCTGCAAAGATTTCATTAAGCCGACGCAAAGTTTTCTTCTGACTAAAGCCAGGTAAACAAAAATGCACTTGTCTAGATTCCCAAATAAATGATAAAGAATATTTTGGTGGTACAAAACTTGAAAATGGCGTTGAAAAAAGCAAACTTTCAGTAAACTAATACTTTTCATCTGACACTCTTCAGAGTTTAAAATGTCAGAACATAGATCGAAAACTCTACGCTAGGAAATATATATACCCAGTTGTGGATCGAAATAGGCCAATCAGAAACACGAGCACATGACTGTTGAGGTTGACAAATCAGTGCCGCTTGCCTATTGAGAATGTCACCAATTAAGAATGCTACATGTTTCGGATTATTGGTAAAGCCTGATCGTCGTTCCACCTAGCAGTTTTGGAATCTATCTACATAAGCACGGAAAAACCGCTACTGTGTGGACAAAAGGAGTTCGTTTTCACCCTAGGACTCCATCGGTTAGGACTCCAAAAATCGACTTCGGCTTTTATATAATCACGATATATAGATAAGGCGAGAAAATCGACTTGGCCACCCCAGGGAAAGCAAAGCCACCCCAGGGAAAACATAGCCATCCCACCACTGTTCGTAGGCTATTGTTTTTTGCACCCAGGAGGGGGATATACTCTTGTACATTTAGGATAAATTAATTCCGATAGGGTTTTAAATTTCTATTCCTTAAAAGTATCTTTTAAGATGAAATTACATCAAAATCATTTGTCTTTGATTAACATACTAAATTAAGGTTTTTGATTTGACAATTCTTGCGGTTCTTTTCTTCAAATCGATTTTCTTTTTTCAGATGTTTCTTAGATTTAAGACTCAAGAACATAATGCAGCATTTCATGAACCCAAAAAGTATTTGCAACATTGGCTTAACCAAAAAAGTATTGTAAGCGAATGAGATAATATCAGAGATACTTTCACGATGAATGGTATTCACATCTGGGTTTCAAGGCTCCTCTTTTCATTCTAGTTTCAAGCCTTTATGTGCTGCTTCTGATGCTTTTGTAAATAATAAAGTAGCAAGAGCTCTGAAGTTAGGAATTTCTGCACGAAATTTTGGTCCCTTGAGTCAGATGAGTGTCCTTATGTTGTATGGGAAGAATTTATCGTGCCTTTTTGGAATGTTCTTGCCACGTTGTTCTCTTCTCCCTTGGCTATGCCTGCAACACGACGAGAATGAAGGCATAGTGTGTTTCTCCAAAATTCTTGATGTTGGGGTGGGGGTTAAATTACAAAAAAGAATTATTTTCACAGTCCTTAACAATTCTTAAGATAAACTCGGCTCTTTAAGTTATGTTTCTCCTCCTCTCTCATACTATAGATACCTTAGGTAGAACTGGTGCATCGGCTCTCTGATGGGGAAAAGTAAACTTTTCTTGTCAATTTCCTGACCAGACTTTTAGGCGGTATGGTAACTTGATACCATCAAGTTATATTCTAGTTTAGGAGTTTCGAAATATCATATCACGTTGTATCACGTTATATCACGTTACCAAAGGAAGCGTGCTTGCTAATATCTTTCCTTGTTTTGTAGAAAACCAATAAGTATTGTTCCTAGGGGGAGGGAGATGACTGAAATTGCTTTTGAAAATTGACTTGAGTATTCCAAGACTTTCGGCAGGCATTGAAGTTCCCCAAGAAAGTTCCGACAATTAAGCTTTTTCTAATAAACTAAGTTTTACTTACCTTCAGTTGCGTCGCAAAAATTTGAAGAGCACAGACAGCGCGAAGCGTTGAGAAAAGTGGGGGGTCTAAAAAAGTGCCAAAGCCCGCTCCGCGGTGCCTGGAGTACTGTAATTGTATTTTGTGTTTCTTGATTGAATTGAATTAGATCTGTCATACATGGAGTAATTCGTCATTTACAGAATGGCAATATAATAATATGGCGGGAAAATGTTTCGTTTAGATGTTAGTGTTTTTTATGCTACCACAGATTCCACCGAAAATGCCGGATGAAATCGAAAATGAAGTGGTTACACAGATACAGCCAATATTTCCTCAATTTGATGAACACGTTATAAGGATGGCTATAACTCACGTTAGACAACGCGTACAGACTGCTCAGGGAGGGCAGCCATTAACGACAGCCCTGTTACTCCCAGCTTGTATCGACTTCTTGCTAGAAGTTACTCAAGATTTTATCCTCCCATTAGGGAACAATTTACAAGTAAATGGAATAAGTCGACCTTTAGTCCCTGTGTCTGAGGAGGGAAAAACAAATAATGGGGTTCCTGCCGTTATCATTATTGACAGCCAAGAAGATGCAGATAAGACTCTGATTACGGCTGATACTAAGATGAGCGTGACAAAGTCGAATAATAAAGACAAATATGAGCCTACAGTGTATGCCGGAATTGAGAGACCGGCTTTTGATTCCACAGTGACTAATCCATGGAATACGATCAGGTCATCTGACAGTTCTTCGAGTTCTAGTAGCAGTGGTGGTAGTGAAAGTTCTGATTCTCATTTGCCCTCGAGTAGCTCGTATGATTCAGAAACTTTTACAAACAGCTCATTAAACACTAATGAAAATTGTGAAGAAAATAGGAGAAAGTCTGATCAACAGCTAAATACTCACAAAGAAGTTCTTAAGTCTGCTCTGGAGATAGTGGTAAGATTTTGAGAAAATGTTTCAAAATGCAGTCGTGTTTTTAATGGCATTGAGTCATGATGAAAAAAGAGGGAATACCCAGATACACAATGCAATGATTTTAGTACTGCCATACTTTTAGTATTTTAGTTTTACTTTTGAAAAGTTTTTATCAATCACCAGTTCCATCAACAACTCATTTCCCTTCCCAGAGCTTGTAAACTTCAAAATTATGTGCCCTTTTTCTTGCTTCCCAGGTTCTTATAACCTTTCTTCTTTCAAAACCAAAATTGGCAAACCTCTCCCTGTCTTCTTAGCCTCTCTCCCTATTCTCTCTTGGTAAGACTTTGCTATTGGCCTCCAGGCCACTTTCTAGCATAACTGACTGAAAAAGATGTTAACAATGGCTGCCAAAAATAGCATAACACTTCAGAGACAACACTGAAGGCAAATTACACTCTGAAAAGAACATGTATTTACCATTTGTCAGTGTCAGACGAAAAAGCTTTAAGTATGTTGTAAAATGTTTGCTTTTTTCAAAGCCATTTACATATTTATTTCATCGTTAAAATTGCTTGTATAGTAATGTATGGTATTGTATGATATCAGCTGAATCCTGTAGAAAATGAATACAAATTTTACAATCAGGTTTGGTAGAAGTGTATCAGACAGAGACCATAATTTCAATGGCCCTACAGCTATTCATGAAAATATTTTCAATTCAGTTAAAATGTCTGAAGTCCTCACATGAGAAATTGAAAAGCAACAAATCTGTATATTAAGATAGGAAGGAACATAAAATACACAATGCACTGTCTATAGAATATTTTCATAGACTTTTCAAGCCACCAATCAGCTCAAAAAAGCGCTAATTCAGTAAGATTTAAACAAAATTACTGTAGATGCATGCAGAGCAAGTATTTTAGGTCTAATTTGCATCAGTTGAAAGTAAGTTTATAATCAATTTTGCTTCTTGAATATGTTTTCCTGTCAAGACTTTAGGATGTGGGCGTTCCTGTTTAGGCTTTAGGATGGTTCAGAATTATTGCTTGCTCTGAAAGACAGATGCTGAGCTGGTTTTCTACCATTGTTTATCATGATAGGTTGGAGTGGTGCCAAATGTTGATGAGAAATTTGCAATGGATTATCTTAAGCGTTCTGCACAATGCACCAATTATGACCAAGCTAGAATGGCTAATGAGTAGGTTTAATGCATTTCTTATTTATATCTTTCTCATTGTCCTAGCAGGATTCTGATGTTTATAGGTATTTATATCAAGGGTAAAATGTGGCATCAATTCAACAAGCATCCACGGAATGCACTTCTCATGTATGGCATAAAATAATTGTAATTTGCACAGCATATCTAGATGGCATAGCATGGCATATCCAAATTGATGTATTTTCTAATCTATGTAACATTAAAATCTCATGCATTCTTGGTATTGCCAACATATTGTAAATTTAGATATGTTGGTTAAATGATACTTTGTAAACTTACGTAAAAAAGTATGGAAACAATACCAAAAATTGTGGCTCGTCAATATAAACTTTCACAGCTAAGGAACTCTGATCCTGAGCGTCTCAAGCAGGAAAATATTTTTTAAAATAGAATTTTTTCATCATTTATTGGATTTTGAATTAAAAGAAAGTTACAGATTTCTTTGCTTAGAACTTTGGGGTCTTCATGTTTACTTTAAAACTTTGTGTTGTGTTTAGATGCATAAACTTATTTTTACATATCTCTTTCAGGCTAATTGAACATTTGTTTGAAAATCATAATTACCCAAAGAAAGTAGAAGTTGTGAAAGATGTCAAAGATAATCTAAAAAAAGAGAAGGTATATTTATTTTTATGTTAACAGGGACAAATATATTAAATTAAATTTGGTCTTTTATAGTATTCTGACTTCATTTATCATGGTCTGTAATCGTGAAAAGTTCTGAACTGCACTAGCCCACACACAAGAAACTTTAATTAGACTTAGTTTAGTAAAATGTGGAAATAATAACAAAAAACATAAACATTGCACCATTAAGTCCTTTTTCTGATATTTCCCAGAGAAAAAAGACCACATAATGACTCAAGGTACTTAGAAGTCCTATTTTTACACTTTTCCTTACTGTCTTCAAGAAATTCAGTTGAATGGTAATTGTTTTTGCAACAGGTGACATCAGATGTTGATTACTACAAGGTAGAAGGTTTGCAGACCAGTTTGAAGCAGCTCAGTCTATATAAACAGCAGTGCATGGTTTTATTGGCAAACAAATTCACCTTGGTATGTATATTAGCCATATTAAACATTATGTTAGCAAACTGT